GTGCTATTTCACGTCGGATTGTTTCCTAACGGGCTTTGATGACACGTCTGGAATCCAATCACCTAACCCTCAAATTACATGAACAGACTCAGCGCATCCTTTAGTGTTTTAATGGGGCCAGCACCTCTGTCATTCACTCCCTCTATCTCTCTCCCTCTCTCTCTCAAACCCTGCTACTGCCAGCGTCTCTATGATATAATGATCCACTCTTCAGGCCTCAACTAGGTACAAGTATTAATACATCTATTAGCACTCCTACACTCTTAAAAAGAAAGGTGCCAGAAAGGGTTCAAGAAAAACCTTTTTGTTTCTTGGATGGTTCTATAAGAACCTTTTTGTAGCTGAAGGAACCTCTGCACAGTGTAAAGCTGCTATATCAACTAAATGTTTTTCCTATGCTATAAAAAAAATTCCTGTGGTTTAGTTATCTGAACTTATATTAATGTCAGTGTGCCTAAAATCACTGAAATTGTCACGATAACTTAATATTACATATTTATATTTTCTTAAGTAACAAAAAGCTTTTTAAGCTCAGAGTATCAAGTCATTTGAAATCCGAAAAACAGTTAAAACAGTGTACGTGATACAACATCGTCTTTCCACCGTTTATTACGTCAGCACGAAGGACATACATCCGGAATAGAACAAATCAGCATTACATCACAACAGCATAGAATTTACTTCTGGGTGGATGTTGCAGGCAGCTCTGCACTGATACAACAGGATTTATTACTAATCCTGATATTTATTTAACCAAGAAATTAGAAAAACAGAAGGGTTTTTGTCTTCTGGTCAATAACTTATAACAATATTTGTGGTTAATTCTTGTCATATAATTCTAGACATGCACCAGCCACATATTTCACTGCAGGGTTAATGAAGAAGCATTCACTTTGTAAGGTTGTTTTCCCACAGCATGAGAACTGACCCAAACATGAACCAACCAAACTTATGGTTCTAGTTTATTTTCTACCTGTTTGAGAGACAGACTGAATCATTATAATAACCACGATAAAGGATATAATTGTCTTTTTGTTCATGTTACGTCACTCTAAAGTGTCTAATTTGGCTAATTAGCTACCCCTAATTGCTAGTTATCTTGCCTTACTGCCTGAAATGAAATGATATGCTACATTATTCTGTAGGCACACTTACACAAACGTCTGTGTTTACAGAGAAATGTGTAGAATCAAACAAAGCTTTTATTTTTCTCTGTAAAGTGTGAAAATATGAGCATAACACTCATTCTGTGGCCGATAGCATAAATTCAAAGAGAGAGAAGTAGCTTATGTTGACTCATGTCAAACTCACTTCAAAGTAATCATTTCAAAAATAGCAATCAGCACATCAACATGCCATCCTAGTTTACATTCTGGTGGTCTTATTGGTCATGTAACAGTGGTCTTATTGGTCATGTAACAGTGCTGGGAAACTTCATCTTCATCTGGAAAAGTAAAGGATTCACTAAATTGTTGTTGGATTCAGCTGTAATTGTTATCAGAAACAGAGGATTTGTCAGTGGGATAGCAACTCTGCTTGCTTTTGAAAGCTGGAAAACTGGAAAAAACTAAAATCTGTTACATACTTGGGTACATACTTTGACATTACAGCCTCAAACACAACAAGATTTAACCATTATTGCCAATGTTTTGTCTGTTATATTTGCACCTATTGTAAATTGTGGTGTAAATTGAGCTGCTTCTATGCTGACTGGATCCGTGTTATCCACCTGGAGGTATAGCCAACCACTAGGTTTATAAACATTCTGATTTGGTCTATAGAAACTGCTGTTACACTGCACCATTTTCTTTCTGGCAGCAGCTTTTTGGCGATTGTCCTCTTTTTGGGCCTCTTTTCTTTGGCTTTGGGACATTCTTAAAGTTCTACTAACGTGACTGATAGTTAAGACACATTTAAAGTGATGGTTTGTACCTTTATATTTTGAGGGGCGGAAAGCTAGATAAAAATTAACTGTCACATTAGTGCCAGTGTCACAGTAATGAACATTTTAAGGTGTTCGTATCTTGTAAGATGGTGGTTAACATTAGGTAGGTTTAAGTAAGTCCCAAGTCATTGAGCTAAAGGCAAGTCAGTTTTGGACCTCATGCCATTGAAATTGAGCACAAAGCTAAACCAAACTGACAAAAAACAAAAATGACCAACATTGTTCTCTGAATGTTTTGGAAAGGAGGATGAAGCCGCTCTGCCTTAAATGGTGCAGCAGTTAATGTTACGTTCTGGTGCCTGTATGTTCAACCATCTTTATTTTTAAGAATGCAGCTGGCTTCTAGATGAAGTAACAGCAGGATTTGAATCTTGATCAGGTGTCTGGAGGCAAATATATAAAATTGGGAGTGAGTATGCTGGGGTACACTTGAATCCCAGGAGTAGATTGTCCATACTAGCCACTACTGTTACAGATAGACATGTTTGTACATACTGAGCAACATCCAATGACCATCTTCTGAACATGAAATGCTACAAAATGTTCCTGGAATCGGGCCATAGCACAGTATCAGTGTTCCTTGTATTACAATACTGCTGTGTCCAGTATGTAACAAGTCCTGCACTTGTGAAGCAGGCCAGATCTGTTTGAGAGCCAATCCTCATGTTAATATGTCCCTAAGTTGAGATACAGTTTTGGGCTGGATCTGTGATTGACTTTTACAACATTTGGAGCAAGTTCCTTTTACATAATGCCTTTTATTACCCCATCGTAACTTTGATACATAAAAGCTGCCACTGCTGATGACATTCTGTCAAGCTTCTTGATATATGGACATGTGCTGTGGTGACATGCCACATTTGATATTCTGTTTTCACATCATACACCTTCCCTTCCCTCTCTGCCTGAAACCCTGCCACGGTCTAATGAGACAAGCATAGGAGGTCACTGGGAGAAGCTATCAGATGAAACCATATGACCCAGTACTGCACACATAAAAGTAAAATTTTTATAAAATAAATTAAACACAATGCTTCTTCTCTTTCTCCCAAAGTTATTATCTAAAGAAATAAAACGTTTTATTCTATTCTGTTTGAAATTGCTTTTTCAGTATACAATATCAATCAAAAGTGAAATTCTGAAACAATGTGAAACTTTCCGTCACTGTCCGCTGCATTTAAAAGAAGATGGTGACATTTGAATGTCAGTCTTGTGTCCTTTTATCCCTCTGAGACTGTCATGTGGAAAAATCCTCCACAACTTGTCTTTTTTTTGTCATATAATGTCATATAATCAAGTGCGATCTTTTCAACAAAGAGAATCTGACTTATTAATTTTTCCATCTATGCTTAGCAAAGCCTCCAAATCAACATTCCGACTGCTTGTAATTGCAAAGGCATCATGGTTCGATACACATGACCTTTACTACCTTTAAAGTAATTTCCATTTCATACAAAAATATTCCATTAATTGCAAAAAGGGGAGTCATTTGTTCATGATGCAATATTTTGAAGATAACGTAAGATTCCATTTCCATCCTAATTTATCAGTGCCATCAGTCAGTGCGAAAACCTCATTTTAAATATCAAAGTGACTTTTACTCTCACATACAATAAGGATCCACTACTGTTTTCACCTTGCAAGAAAAGCAAACTGTTTCTTTTTTTTGTGGTAGTAAGTCAGACAAGCCCTAAACCCCTTTTGTTTCCCACATTTTATTCCTTATAAACAATGCATTGGTAAAAATAAATGTGTATTATAATGTAAAAATATTACTTGCACATCATATTCGGTCTCCTCTACAATTCCTCTTAAACATGAAGCAAATCAAAACAAAAACAATAAGAGAAAATGCAGCAGTCTGTCATTCTTTAAGAATATGTGGACTTACTGTAATATGCCACCCGTGATATTGTGAAGTGATGAGGCAGCCAATACTATTACTTACCCCCCCCCCAAAAAACCACACTATTCTATTTAATGAGGGACCAAAGACACGCTGAACTGCGTTCTTCTTTTTATTTCATATTCTCAAAATTGAATTCAAATGTGTGCCTTTCATTTCTACAGTCTGATTTTCTTCTGATGCAAGCACACACTCATCATCAACAAACAGGCATCTGCTGCAGCAGCCGATGGGCGATTACAGCAGAGAGCTTATCAGGCTTGGCTCGGCAATCAGGAGAGCGCTTGATTGGCAGCTGAAGAGTTCCAAGGTTCTGATGCTACTGTATGTATGCATCTCAGAGGGCCCATAGCGCGATCTGAGGAATCATCAACACTTCCTGTAAACAGCACATTAGCCATGGAAATAACCGTGTGGTGTTTGGTTTTATGCTTCCAGAGGTACATGAGGCATAAAGATGAATCACGTAATGTCTTCTAAGCAGTGTTTCCCAGCTCAGCTCTCAGTAGCCACCTGAACGTCCATATTTGGGACTCCCAAAGTGCCCCCATTCTATCTAGAAGAGAGCAGAAAATGTGTACCAACGTTGGGGGTGGATTGGTTCTGAGGACTGATTTGGGAAATACTGGTCTACAGCACATTGTCACTGAAAAAATGGTCTTCAAAGATGATAAGCTGGTCTATTTTACTAAAGTCTAGACAGACAAACATAAACATGTTTGTACAGTATTGTGCAAAAGTCAGAGACCACCTTTCACAAGACTTGCTTTTGGCTTTTTAAAGAAATCTGCAGTGATATTTTTCTAAGAGTGGAGCTTGATTTTCTCCTCTGTCTTAAAGATGAAAGCTTTAAGTACTGTTTATCTGATGGTGACAGTTTTGGTGGTCTGTCAGGTCTTGCAAGGAGCCCCATTTTCTTTGAATAATTTAACACCAGTTTTGGAAACTCCTCTTTTTCACTTATTTTCCTTTGACTTTCCCCTTTCTTATGCAAGTGGATTATCTTATACCTACTCTCCTCAGAAATAGCTCCTGAAAAATTAATAACTTGTACTCAAATAAAAGGTGGCACAAAAATAAAGGGTGGCATAGCGCTGTGCGTAAGCAGAATACATCTTTCCATACATAAGGAAAAAAAGGCACATGAAGAACAGTCTTCAATAAATTATGTTTATTTCTGAAGAGCCTGTATACAGTTAACCATGCATTCTAGCACTTTAAGGCTTATAATTATTCACATCACAGAACACACACAGTTGTACACTAACACGAAGCATTTATACTGTCATTGTACACCAAGATTTGCACGTACAGTATACATATATACAGATGCCCATTCATTAGTCTCAAACCTTGCTCGGAAGTCCACGTTCTCACTAATTACTGAACACGCGACATGGAAAAAAGCAGTGTTTTAACAAAAGTTATAAGAAATAACTGCAAGGCACAAAACTGTTTAAAGTTTAAAACATTTCTTTGTTTCTCCAAATCTGGGGAATTACAAAAAATAATAATAAATAAACAGAAATGGTGAATAGCATCCCATTAACTGGCGCGAAATCCCATGCCACACAACCTCACACAGCTGTCGGGTTGCATAGATAGCTCTACTTCGGCACTCATTGTTTTAACAGTCCACGGGCCCGGGCTTCGACATCTGCAAAAGCATCTTACACACGCAGGAAGAGTGGAGCTGAGTAAAGCTGGAGCAAGCTGCTCTCCAGACCAACTGAGACGTGACGCCACGCGGTTATGGCCTACTCACACATACTACATGTGTCTATGTCAACCTCTACAATGTGCTGCACCTCACTCCACTTTGAAGCTGCAAATGAGAAACACCTGTGATTTGCGCTGATATATCTGCAGCTGGTGGGCTGATACGATCTTGTGTGTTTGTGTGTATATTAGACTGTGGTAGTGAGTTTCAGGGTGGAAGACCAGTGAGGTAGCTCAGTTCTGGGGGTCCAGGATGAGCAGAGAGTAGAGTACGTTGGGGGTCACCATGAAGTCACCGGGGTCAAAGGTCAGAAGTAGGCGCTAAAGCAGGAGGAGGAGGGCCAGAAAACATTGCAGTGCCAAACAAGGGGTCCATGCACCAGGATCAAAGAAAGATCCTGGCCCACAGAATGACTACGCAGCGGCAGAACCTCTTCAGTTAGGGCTTACACGCAGGGCTGGCCAGGGTTCCCACGAGTCTCTAGAACAAGCACATACACATGCGAAAATTATGTTTCAATTAATCCAAAAAATCTCTACTGTTCAAAAGTTTGGAATCTCTTGCCATATTAACAGTTTTGTTATTTATATAGAATAATAACTTGGGTTCTAAATAGTACAGAGGAAGGGTTCTATAGGGTTCTATATAGAACCACTGCTTTTACTGAAGAACCCTTGAAGAAGCATGTTTAAGAGTCTAATTTAATTCTCAATGCTATACAGCCTTTTCAGTCATTTTAGAATCGACATCATTCCGGACATGACTAACATTCTTTAATTTTTCTTTATAGCCTCATACTGCCCCACAAATTAAACTAAACACATCAGAATAATTTTATACATTTATCTGCAACCAGTGTTTTATAGTACTGAAAACACTGACTCCAAACCATTGAACTATAGTGCATACAAATTAGAAATTGAACTGTAATTCATCTTAATACCCACTAGGGGCACTACAGATATTTATTAGAGAGAAATCAAAGCAATTTGTAAATTTGTTGTAATATTCCAAGCAGAAATCTTTTTCACTGTGGAATAACACACAATAATTTGTCCAAAAGTATGTAAAGTAATTCATTAGACACTTGTGATGAGGACACTTGGGATGTTTGATATTGGACAGGTGTCGTCTGTGCCCTCTAGGTAAGCATCAACAGTGCATTTGAGTGTGTACTGACCCCATGATGGCCACAGGGTGATATGAATGTGTTCTGCTCTAGCTAGTAGACTGATCATATGTCTTCTGTTTTCTCACCCTATCCTCCATGCTCTAGGCATTCGCTGAAACATGAAACATGGGTGGCACATTCATTTAGCTGACCTTTCTTTTTCATTTTTGAATCTCATATTGTCATTTAAGTCTGGTCACTGAAAACCTCACCTCAGCTTGTTTAAAACACGCTGGCTGGGTTGAAGAGGGTTGAACATTAGGTCAAGAGAAAAGTTCACTATTCTGGGTCTTTGTGGGACTAGATTAGAGTGCAGTGTACACTCACTATAGGGAGTTCCGAAAATGAGCAAGCAGTGCAGGATTTTCCATCTGCTGTACACTCTCTAGGACTTTGTTGCCACGAAACATTTGTTTTTCATCAAAAGAAATGATTGCCGAGCAACATGCTCTGGCATGGCGACACAGAGAGACAGACAGAGAGAGTGAGAGAGCCCAATTCAAAGGCTAACCCTACTAGACATATAGATACCACATATAGATGTAATGACTGCTTTTCAGACCAATTTTCCTGGTAAGGTTATCATCACATAGAAAGTACAGTGGCCTATAATTTAAACCGTAACATGGTCCTGAGTCAGACAATGCATTAGCGTCATCAGCATTGGAATAAGCCTGTGGGGTCGGATCAGGGAGCTTTTCTAAATATGTGGGTCGAGAAAACACATTCTCGTTGCAAATTTTTGCTTGTTGCAAAAACAGACTAATGTGGAATAGGAAGGTGCTTAGTTGCAGTATGGAATGAGGTGGAAAATGGGGTGCTTGCAATGCACTACAAGATGTTGAAAAGAGCCATCAGCCATTTTTCAGAGGTACGACAGAGGAGGCCTGGAGGCAGAGGCTGCGTGTGAGTCTGTGTGGGTGTGTATGTGTGTATATGTGAGGGTGCTGATGCACGACCTACAGTAGGAACCCTGGCCTGGGGCCTGCTGCTCGCTCCACTCCTCACTGCAGATGAGCTGTCTGAACGGCGAGTGCTGAACGAAGCCCTGCGGCCTGTCTCCGGCAGCCCAACACCACTCTCTGACCTTGGCAACTGAGAGAAAAGAGACAGGGATGATGACATCAGGGTTCATGATGGTAATGACAGTAAAATGTGTAAGCATTCTTTTGTTCTTGTTGTTGAGCATCTAAACCGCTGTCCCTTAGGTAGCACTGATGCAAGCCTTTTTATTTTCACACGTCACTCATGTTAGCAAATTCACGTTGTCCCTGTGGCATGTTCACATCACAGCAGATTCTCATTGTCCTTATGGCATGACAGCATCACTACTTGTGGGCTCCCACCACTGCAGTGGTACAAGGTGACCAAATAGATGCTCTATTTGGCAGTAGCATTGGACAGAGGAACCCTACACCGCCGCCCCCCCACCCCACTCAATAAGAGCACGTCAAGTTGTGCTCATGGACCTCCAGTCAGGATATACTAGACATGCATTAAGTGGACTGTCTAGTCATTGAAGATTCAATAAATTTTTGTGAGTAATAACATTACAATGCTTGTCTACATCCGGCTTTAGAGTTAAGTCATTAATGCTCTTGTTTTTGGTATCAATGATTAGTTTAAAAAGTAAGCACTTAATTCACCTAATATAAGGTCAAACATCTGATTTGCAGAGGGAGCTGGAACGAAGCGGTGGGGAAGTTTGCATATGAAATAGAAAACTACTTAAAAAGAACACAAATACATGCTAATTCAGTCATGAAATTAAGTAATGATTCTCGCTGTAGTCTTGCTTATGAATCATAATATAATCTGACTGATTATGATTATTCTGTTCTGTAGACCTTAAAATTTTAAATCTACGCCTGCAAATCCTTCTTCCATTAGCACTTCAGGGGGAGAGTGGGGGGGGGGGGGGGGGGGAGGGAGGGAGAGAATGAAAATCCCTCTTAAATATTTAGTCAATGAGATGAATTCAGCAGAAATGCACCCTGCTCTCATTACAAGCAGATAGAGCCCGGTATAATGTCTAAACGCACCTGTTTATGAGTTGACTTGGCTTCCTGAGGAGAGCTGCGCCCTTTTCTGACATTCTTCTGTTTCATCCACTGTGAAGCAGCACCTCTTTCATCCCTATCACTCTTTCTTATCGGGGGACAGTTAATTTTAGGATTAATATATAGGCCGCCTTCCTCTTTTAAAGGATTTGTACTGGAGCAAGAGACTCTTATCTTAGTCATTACAGGGGAAATATTGGATTCAAGCATTTTAGTATCTGCAAAACATTCAACAGTGTCTATCAGGGTTTCACATAGTAAAGGATTAAGATAAGGAGCCTCATTATGGCACTGTGGCTGGCTCCCAGCTATACTTCCTGGAGAAATACCATGTGCTTTTTGGTATTCATCAGAGGCTGGTGGAGGTGCTTGGCTCAGGGGACAGAAGGGGTCTATTAGTTTGGTGCTGCGTCTCGTGGGCCGTTTGCTAATGGACATGCTGTAGCAAAGAGGAGGGCCTAGGTAGACTTCTTCTGTGCAGGCCTCGAACAGAGGCTCTTCATCGCGGATTTCTGGGGTTCTTGAGAGGACTGGGGTACTGCTCTTGTCCTCTGTGCAGGTACTGACCTCCCCACAATCACTATCATGGGAGGAGAGCGACAGGTAGTTGTAGAAATCCCCCTTGCGCAGGTGGATGGGCCGATGCGAGTGTTCAAGAACTTTCTCTCTGATCTGAGAGACTGAGGTTGGGCTGGAGACTTCCTGAAAAGGCTCTGCTGGGGCTTCTTTAGTTTTGAGTGCCACCGATGCCATGTCAATGATCTCCATCACAAAGCTGTGAATGTTCTCGCCTTTATCATCTTCTGAAGGGAAGGACGGGTGGCTACAGCTCTCCGTGTGATTTTCATGGACATCATTCAGGAAAGATGCTAACCGCTCTTGGGAGCTCATATGAGAAGCTCCCAGCATGCCATGGTGGGTCCCTGAGCACTCCTCCATGGGAGACAGAGAGGGGGACGGGCGATGGGAGCTGTGGCATGGCAGCTCACCTTTCAGCTGACCCTCCAGAGACGACTCTTTGGACTGCAGGTTCAGCTGCTCGCATGGGGCAGGTGAGGTGGTGATTACCATACCCGACATATCTCCATTTAAAGCATCCATGGCATAGCAGTCCTTACATGATTCTCCTTTCTTAGTGAATAGACTCCCTTCTTCTCTGAGGAGCTCATCATCCTCATCTTTCCCTTTGATGTGTGAGCTGTCCACATTCCCATTCTCCATGTCATCCACAAAGCAGCTGATGTAACTTCTGGTTGCGTCCCTGCGACTGCCGTCCACCTCCTGTTGTTTAAGGCTGTCATTCTTAGCATTTGTGTTTACTTCCAAGAGCTTCAGAGCAGCTCGATTCAAGAAATGCCGATCCCCAGTGGTCCTCACAGGTGAAAGAATCTCTCTGGACAGGGTGCCACACTGCAACTCATCACCGAGATCTGCCTCATTCTTTTCCCTGTTCTGGGACCTGTGCTTGATCCAGCTCTGAAACTCGCCCTTCATGTAGTCCAGCCCCAGTGCAAATGAGCCCTCTATATACTCCTCCTCAGAGGTAATGCTAGAGTCTTCATCGTCCTTGATGCCCAGCTCTTCCTCAGTGAGGGTGAGAGTGGAACTGGAAAGCAGGTCACTATCATCTTCATCATCGGTGCATGCTGAGGTGCAGGACACATTGACCACCATGCTGATGCTAGCATCTGTCTCATCTGCCAGCTGCTGGTTGCGGCATTGCTTCTTGAAGGAATTGTTTGAGTTGGCAGCTACACGGCGGTTCCTCTGTACGGCCAGATCTTCAGATGCCACTGATGAATCCTCAACACTGCTTAGCTCTGTGAGAGAAGCAGCCATGCTCTCATTAGCAGAGGAAGCAAGTCCACCTGAACGTGGCCCATGACAGGGAAGATGAAGGGAGCTGCTTTGTAGGGTGACATCAGAAACACTGCGGGTCATCTTCTGGTCAAGAGGGGTCTGGATGTTTTCAAGTCGTTTGAGCAGTTCCAGGGTTCTCCTGCTCAGCTCCCCAGTGGGCTCTGCAGCCAGGCCCATGTCCCTCAGACTGCCCTGACTGCCCACTTCCTCCGGACCTTTACATGGAGCCAGCCAGCTCTCAAGGGATGTGCTGCGCGTGAGAGTCTCTTTGGCCGATGGAAATAATTCTCCCACTGAATACAAGGAGTCCAGGGAAGACCCCTGGGACAGCTGGGTAGACTCCTTCCGGATTTTTCTTTTGTCATTGTCTCCAGCACTGAAAGCTCCAGTGTCACAGTCCTCAGACTCAGGACTGAGACAGCAGCCATTAATAAGGATCTCCACTGGTTCTTTTCTGTTCTTCCTCCTGCTCTCTCCAGATTCTTCTTTCTTCCTCCTCACAATGCGATGTCTTTGGTTCTTTGTCTCCTCTGCTAGACTGTCTCCCAGCTCGGCACATTTGTTGGCACGTTCCAGGATCCTGTCTATATCTTCATCTGACACTTTATCTACACAAGGCGATTCCGCCCGAATGGGAGGAGTGAGAGTAACGTGAACCTTTTGATCTTCACTCTGATAAAGCAGACAGATCTCAGAATTGGCTGTGGTCTCAGTGTCCCCTTCACTGACTATCCCACTCTCACTCTCTGATCTCCTGGTTAAATCTGTTAGCAACCCCTGTTTCCCGTTCAGTAGCCCTCCTATGATGTCTGGCAATGACTCCACTGAGGAGAAAGAGGAGTCCTTGCTCAGGCTCTTCAGCAGTGGCTGCTTCCCTTTGGTTTTGGTGATATTTGGAGACATCTTTTGATTGTACTGCGGCTGTTGATATAACTCCACATTATGCAGACTGAATACCTGATAAACATGGGAAGACAGTGAATTTGGCTCTGAGATGTCCAGGCTTGCTCTTTGCTGTGAGGGGCATGACTCAGTCATATTTAAGAGCTCGCCACCAGAACGGACGTGCATTTCAGAAGGAAGGTTTTGCTCATCACATTCCTGTGACTCCATATTAACTATGGTCATGTCCATCTCATCCCATTCCCAAGAGTCTTCAGATTGGCCATGGAGATCCATAAGCGATGGTTCGATCAAGTTCCCTGGGACCTGAGCATGGACAAACAGCAATGCAATCAGTATATAAGGGGAGCACACTGAAATGTAGAAACATACGTCATGGTTCTGATCTTCAAGAGCAATTAAATTTTAATGATATCAAAAGCAAGCTAAGCTGTACAGCATTTTTGCTTTCTGTTTGAAAATTTTGCTTAGACACACGCATTCTGCATGGGATACAATTATACAAATTGCTCGGTTTCTTGTTAATGAGAGAAAGGTCTATTTATATTATCCTTTTATCTCATTAATCTAATAAACTGGCAAATCTAACACTTGCGTGTTATGTCATACATCGCATATAATGAATTTTTATTAGATTTCTGTTTATTCCCTTCTTGCTGATAAGGGAAATACTAATGATGGGGCTTGGATCGCTAATGCATGATAAAACCTTCAACTGTGAGAACAATCAATCAGTCTAATCAAATAAAACTCATTTCTGTAAGCTGCCTCAGCTTACAATGTACTACAATTGCACCAAAGGCATTTTTTAACACAATGTTCCAGGCATAACCTTCCACTATGTCATTAATAACATAAAGTACATTAAAACAATGTTATGAAAACTTGAGTTGTTAAAGGTTGAATGAATATGGGGCACAATAAAAGAGCTACCCTTTCTCATTTCTTCTCAGGAGACAGTCATTTTATGGTACATCCACCTCTTTTTAGAGTGAGTGAAAGTTAGCTTCACATTACCATCCCTTCTGTTGACCTTCATGTTAAAAAAATGGCACCATGAACCATAGCTTTTTAAAAATGGCCAAATTGAAAAACTTTTTCAGCTCTCAAACATGAAGAGTGAACGTATAAGCAGAGTTTGTCTTCTAAATCTTTTAATAGAACGCTATTTTATCACTGCACACAGAGCACTGTATTTACAAAAACAGACCCTCCCTATTATTTTTCTTCTCCTTTTCTAAACACTTCCCAAAGTGAAATTGCTCTTCAGCCCTGCAAGGTCAGAGCTGGAGAGGGCCGAGTCGTTTGTCTTGCCGGTGTAAATGAGAGCGGATAACTGAGTGGACGTCCACAAACAGGTCCCTGGGCTTTTCTGTGTGCTCCACACCGCCTCCACAGAGCCGTGTGCTGCCACACAGGAATGCACAGCATCTGCATAACAAAAGCCTCAGTCCAATGCGCATCTAACTCCCACATTTAAAGCACTGCTACGACCCTCCTATTACTATAAGTCACTACTTAGGACTTCTGTTTTGGGGATAAAAATGCTGTTTATTTTGCAGTAAACCTTGTGTGTACACTGGCTTCTTTAAAGATCTCTGTCTTTGGTTTGAGAGCGAGGGGGGAAGCGATACAGTTACACTTTCTCAAGCTACAGAGAGGCTATTTACCTCTCTGGGGAAAGGGCTTTGTATTAAGTTATTGCATTTCTGTAGACGTTACTTAATACATTAAGATCAGTCAATTATTCCTTGGCAACTTCTGTAATGCACTGAGTGCGGTGCCCTGTGAGTCAGTCTAGCTACTTTGCCTTCATTCTGTATTATTGAACGATAATACGTTGTTACATTTCCTGCATTATACATCACTCTTATTGCTCCATTACAGCTGTGCTGCTCTATATTACACCAACAATCTTTCTGGCTGAAAAAACACGTAGCCTGGAAAAGTTACCACGTAGAATAAGGAATAAATATACTCCCATGCAGTCAGTTTAAGAGTTGAGTAAAACACATACTCTGAAAACGAATGGACAGAATGGCTATAAGTGTAATCGGACTTGCTGAATGGTAGAGTAGGAAAACCTTGTTAGATTTCAGCGTGTGTTGTCATGTATTTATTTATATTGAGAATGCACACATCAGTGACTGCATCTGTTAGACATGTGTGAAGGGATTTGAAGCTGGAATGTTTATATGTTAGACGTTTTATATTCATACTGATTCGGTTCGTATGGTGCAGGTCCTTCATGACACATCATGTCTGTGATTTGGCGGTGATATCCCTGCAACAGCTGCTTGCTGGACACATACTAGCTGAAGATAGAACATGCTTGTAGCCATCCTGCGCGTCATATCTGACCTGTTCTCGCCCCAGGGTGCGTTTGAGGCGGCTCTGCCACTGCAGCACCTGCATGACGATGGCCTCCCAGCGCCTCTCCAGGTTCACCTGCAGCAGCTGCAGGGACTGGCGCTCGGACTCAGAGCTCTGCTCCTCCGGCCCCTCCAGCAGCCTCTGACACAGACGCAGCACCGAGGCCATACCCTTCCTCCTGCCTCGCACCTCCACACACAGAGCCTAGAGCAAGAGAGAGCAACAAAACAGACATAGTTAACCCCTTAACCTGCAGGCTTCTTGTTAAGTTAATAATCTTAAGATGTAGGATTCAGGAAGAACTATTCTTTATTCAGCAACTATCGTAAAATTGATGTAAGTTATGAGTGTTAGAAGCTGAAGTGTGGGTCAACATATAGGTGCTTATTTCTTTAACGGGGTATAATCTCAGTTATTTATTTCTCATTTTTTTTAAAATGTCCATAATTATTTTCAGGATAATTGCATTCACCAAGTAACTACACAAATTGATTTTATTTGTGCCAAACATTAACATGCCATTGATGTTTAACATGATAATGTATACTATTTTGTGGATGCTCGCTATAACCCACATCGAGTTACTTATTTTAGAACATCACTGTTTCCGATACAGTCATAATTATTTTAAGGGTTCTCAAAGTAATTACATATATTTATTTAGGACAAGCTATAATCTATTGTTCTATTAAATGTGATGATGTATACTGTTACGTATGATCTCCCTATAAGTCAGAACCACAGAGAGAGAAAGTGAGAGAGCAGAAAGTGTGGCCCAAACTGAAAGCCACTAGAAAGTTACAATATTCCATTGTGCGTGTGTGTGTGTGTGTGTGTGTATATATATATATATATATATATATATATATATATATATATATATATGTACGTACCCTAATCTAATGTATGTACCCTAAGACAAAACATTCAGGCACCCCTGTTTTAGAACATATAGAACATTATATTTTAGAGCACTTCTATTGTTCTCATGCAGAATTGTGTAATTTCTTTCAAGGGTGATATTATTTGCAAAGTAACTATATTTACATATATATATAACTTTTATTTCTGCTAAAGTATAACTTGACATTTATTGCTCTGTTTAAGGTGATGATGTACAGTATTATGTGTGACGTTCAGAACCAGAAAGACCGTAAGAGAGAGCAAGACAGAGTGTTACCTCCAGCAACTTCTGTTATGCTATGTTATTGTTTTCCATAAAATGACCACATTAATTTTTATTTGTGTCAAACAAAGTTCTGACATTTATTGCTCAAATTGTACAAATCCAATTCCAATAATGTTGTCAAAAACACAATATTTGATGTTTTACATTAACTTAATTGTTTTGTACATATACATATATTACATTTATGGATAAACACTGTTTATTGACAATGGTTTGTCAAAGTATTCCCCAGACCATGTGTTGATAACCATTACAGAAGCATGCCGGTTTTTAATGCAGTGCCGTCTAAGGGGTCAAAGGTCATGGGCATTCATTTGTTGTGTTCAGCCTTGCTTTTTATGCACAGATTTGTCCTCCAGATTCCCGGAATCTTGTGATGATATTTTGCACGATAAAGCGTGAAATACTTAAAATCCTTGCAAACACTTGACTAGGAATGTTGTTCTTCAACTGTTGCATTATTTGCTGGCACATTTTTTGTTAGCATGTGGCGAGCATCAACCCATCCATGCTCATATAGGAATAGGCCTCTTTTTATACCCAAGCATCAACTGTTTAAGATGTTTTTTGAACATTGCACCATTTGCCTAGTCTTAAATTGCCCCTCACCCATCTTTTTTGGATTGTGTTGCAGGTATCAATTTCAGAACGAGTGTATGTTTACAAAAAAACAATGAAGTTCATTAAATATGACATCAATCATCTTGTCTTTGTACTGTTTAATTTAAATACAGGTCAAAGTGGACTTTTTGTTTTTATTTGCATTTTACCAACTGTCCTAACAGGAATTGTGTGACCTCCCTAATATTCATAAGCAAAAAGAGAGAGAGAGCAAGGCAGAAAGAGGTGAGGATGAAAAGTGCTAAAGAGAGAGAGAACAAGAGAGAGAAAGAGAGAAAATGAGAGAGTCAGTAGTGAGCCCAGTGCTGATGAGGTCCCTACAAGAATCTGCGCTGTCAGGAGCATGTAAATCACAAAGACCCCTCCACACCCCACCCAACCCATAAACAACACTCAGTTCGATAGTAACAGGCTGAAGCCTCGCTCCAGTGCTCCACAGCTCAGCTATAACACAAATGGAATACACTCTCTTGAACATGAGCGCACAGTTGAGGTGATTGTATATATGTGGTGAAAGGGGCGCAGGATGCTGATGGTCTAGCGCCCCGTACCAAAGCTCTCTTTAAATATGCAGTGGAGGCTGCGTGAATTGACAAGCTCTGCTCCGTGTGCAGTATGGGACAAAAACATTCCGAGAACAATTTATGTAAATCCCACCTGCTCTGCAAGGCATTGCCTCACTCTTTCTTTACATTTTTCAATAAATATTAAACACCATTACATTTAAATTGGATTTTTTTTTTCCTCTGCAGTTTCGTCCTCTGTTTTAGCATACATTTACCGCTCCCCACATCTTTTAAACAGGTAATGAGACTGCAAAATGCAATGGCAGAGGGGAGAGAGGAGGGGTGAGTGAGGTCACTGCGTAGAGTGATAAAGTTATCCTGTGGAATAGGATGGAAAGCACAGTTGAAACAGGATGCTCAGGAGATGTTGGAGATGTTTTGAAAGCAGACACACAAACAAACATATGAGACATAAAATAAGACACAAGCAGGCATGTAGTGTGGAGAGCCGGCTACACTTGGTATTCTAGAAGTTGCTTGCAAACATTTATGGCAGCCTGGCTAGCCTCTGTTTATCTTTTTACACAAACAGTTGGTGTTAGTGCTGCGGATGGTCAACATCACTCTCTTACGAGCACTGTTACATTCCCTCACTGCCTTCGGTCCTCATACAGCAGTCCTTCCACAGTTGGCTACGGCAAACAATCTAGAAGGCTGTTCTTCAATCAATACCACTAGTCCACTCATTCAGATTAAATGGCACAGAACCGGGTCTATATCATAACACGTTTAACAGCATATGGTGCTCTTAGACTTCCAAACTCCGCAGAAATCCGATGCTTCATTGTTTCTGTATTGCCGGGCTTCATAAACTGATTTCTCCCCCCAATGAGTCTTGCCTTATTGACAAAGGGGGCAGGCGGAGTATGGTGTGCCAATATTTGCTAAAAAGCTTTTCCAAATACATGGAGCAGTAAAGTGGCCTGCTTTTTCCCCACAGTATGTGAATGTGAACCTACACAATGACTCCATTTCAGACCCACAGGCTGAGTGCTATGGCTGAGAAGCTGGCCGCTGGCCAATGCGCTCCGTTGCCCCAGCCAGATATGAAAAGGAGAGAGAGAAAGAGAAAGAGAGAGGGAGGCAGAGAGAGAGACAAACGTGGAAACCAAACAAGAGAGCCATCTTTCAGTTGACCATTCTCTGTGAAGGCAATAGAATGAGTGAGCTCACAGCAGGCCTATCTATCAGGTGCTTTTTAATAAAGGTATCAGCAGATCAGCTGCCGCCGAGCGTGCGTCAATGCTAAGCCAATCTCCACAATGCCCGAGATGACTACTCTCTCATCGGCCTGATCTGGCTTCGCTATCGCTTGGCTAAATCCATCTTGTGTACTGTATTAATCTACAAGTTTCACTGCTATCGGAGCTGGTAATCACACCTGAGGCACGCGGCGCAGGCCCAAAGCTGCTGCCCCATGCAGAGGTGTTTCAAACTCCATCTCTATATCCTGCGCAAAATGAGAATATACCAAGACCCTACCCACACTGCCATTAACGCTTTTTACTCTCCCTCTGCTCGTCTCAGAGCTCTTCTCTGTGCAACTTCATGTTGTTGTATTCTACTGCATATACAATTTAGCCATTTTCAATGTACAATAAAACACTTGAAAGTCAGAAGGGTTTGGAATTACCCATGCACCAAGGCTGATGCTCTTTTGTGCGGATTAAAATGGCAGATGAGGGCAGAAGAGGCTCCTGCTCTTTCTGCTTTGGCACGTTTGTTTTGCTCCTCTCTGCTGGGAGAATGAGTGCACACTTCATCCCCCTCTTTCTTTCCGCAGCTGCAATTTGAACATTTTCAATTAATCTGGCCGAGATGGAGGAGCAGAGCCCAAATCCCCTCCAGTCAAGGCAAGGACACAGGAATCTAACACTGACAGTGACCCAGTGGATATTCAATCAATTACCATTAATTAGAAATCTCTGATTAATTCTATTTGTTGATTAAGTCAATTAAAACCACAAGCACTTGTTATCGCAAATGAGCGTAATGAATTCATGTCGAAGATTTGTTCCCACACACAGATTCCCTGAGCTCATGCTGCTTGTAGTTTCATCTGTTTATGTCACTGGAATCACAGCATCTTTCTCTCACAGATAACCTCAACGGACTGCAACGAAGAACAGCGCCGCAGTCCTAACACAAACACACGCCACTGTGGCCAATATTAAAGGGTCCATGTCATGGAAAAACAAATTTTCTTTGCCTTTTTGAAATAAATGGGCTTGAAGTAATATATAAACATTGTCAATTGTTCAATTCCCTACGCAGTCCATACCGTCTATATATGATAAACATCCTGCAAAAACAATGAACTGTTTCTGTGATGTCACAAGAACCAACTCATTTGTACATATCCACTTATTCAGCCAACAGTAGTTTAGCCCTGCCAACTCATATTGAAGTTCTAGGGAGCATTTCTGCTTTGGGTGCTTTTTAAATAAGACACAATACAGGGCAGCCAGAACAGAACAGAGCTCATTTATCCTATATCAATCTTAAAAGGCAGTAAAAATACAGTGTTTAGTTCTAAGGGATAAATAGAAGTTGGAAAACAGTCATGTAAAAATGAATTATGACCACATTTGGTAAATTAAACATGTAAACAAAACTGAAGAAAAATAAGATACAAAAAAAGGTAGTGGTTTTAAATGATGATATAGTGACACCTGTCAATCAAGCTATTTAAGGTGCCAAGTCTAGAGTAAATGTTTTCTTTTCTCAATTCTCAGTTCAATACTTTCGCCATATAGGCCACTCAAAAACAGTTAAAAGTCTACAGTACATTCATTGTTCATGATCCATATTTAATCCATATAATCCATATTTAAAGCTGAGCCTTTATTTCCAATTATTTTCTCTTTTCTTGTCTACCATGAGAAATAAATAAAAAACAAAAAACTGACAGATATTTTCACGATGAAACTAATGTCTCATGAACAGCGGCCCACCCCTCTTTAACGTGATAAAGCAAACAAATGGCAGAAAAGTGATAATAATGCTATCAATAAGGACATTTTCTCATTAGTGTCAGTAAATGAAAGCGAGCAGGCTGGACGCAGAATGAAAAATAAGAGCGTGTGTGTGGCCAGTCGATTGTGTGGGTAATGAACAGGCCTCCCTGGGCTGTCACCTGTCTGCTCCCCATTACCTGCTGATAAGACACTAACTCTGCGTTTGGCACTTCCCCACTCGCCCTCCTCAGCGCCCCACGGTTAATGCGGTTAGCACTCGCCAAAGAACAGGAGTTCCTTATTCCTAATCATGGAGAAAGTATTGATATTATATCTGTGCTGTCACATTTCATTAGCTGGACAGGGGCCCCGGGATAAGGCCTGGGGGCCGCCGCTGCAGTCTTCTGATCAGGAGACACGAGAGAAGACTGGATGGACTCAGACTTTGATGATACTACAGAGAAAAGCTTCCAACCTACAGTTAGTCATGGAACAAGTCAAAGGTGTATATCATCACTGTCAGAACAAAACCTTGTTTCTCCTAAATGGCAACTTTACAGGACAAGGTAAAAACAGTAATAACTTTCAATGGAAGTTAGTGTAAAGAGATTTAATTCCAAGCAGTTTTAGAGCATTCCTTTTGGTCCACTCATCATCAAATTTTTACACAATGTAAAGGGCAGCTGCTGTGCTTAATTGATGTAGAAATATAAAATTGGAGATATGTTTTTAGACAACAACATGTAAACTGACCAACTGATATGAAAAACATACTTTTTCATGAAATCACTCACCCGTAATTATGAGCAGTTGCTCCAGTATGACCAGTATATCACAGATCTAAGTGTTCTGCATGTTAAAACATTCAGCAGGCGTCTGATTTTTAGGGTTAGATCTGCTGCAGTTGCCACTGTTGAGAGTATAACCTGTAAGCACTGCCTACACCGACAACAGTGTTCAACTGTCTGCCAAATCAATTACGACTGGCTGCCAAAACGTGAACTTTCAAAAGAATAATAACAAACAAATTAAGCAACAAAACAATAAAGTCCATAGTAAACAACATATATATTTAATGGCTCATCGCCTGATGAAATATAAAGAAAAAACAGAACACTCTGCCACAGTGTATGACTTTAATGAGAAATGAAAGCTGACGATAAGTTGTAGGGTGAGCGAACGCTTTCCTACAGAAGCCAGAGCAACACTGCAGTTAATTCCTACCTACAACTCTAAACAACCCAACGCGGCCAAGCGCATGACTAGAGGTCAGAAAGTAATATGCAACAAGGCATTGCTGGTCTAGCTTGCAGTGAATTTGCTTGTGAAGCAGGGGATGGTATTAGAACGCTGGTCACTACACAGTATATTTGAATTCATTACTTAAAAGACCTTAAATGTCCATTTTTTAACGTCCATCTTCAGAGTGTCAGGCAGCCAACACATAAACATGCTGATAAGAAATGACGGATGTTATTAGCATGAATGATATGGAGAGTGTATTAACTATGCAGAGAGCATTAGCATAACACCAAGCTTATATCCTCCACAGTGACACTGATCAGGAAAAACGGCAGATGCTGCGACACAGTGATGACTACAGTGATCTTTAGTAACCCGCCATATTAACAAAGCTTTAATGAGTGAAATACTTATTCTGTAATGCCTGAAGCTGCTATGGCATAGATATTCCTCTCACAGAAAAACTTCAACCTTCAGGTTTCGCTATCATCAAAACACACTATTAAAGGGGAGTCGTTATTAATAAAAGATGTGAAATTGGCAGCCAACTAGTTTGAACTATGTGCCCAGAGAAGGTTCAGATACAATAGAGTCTAATTTTAGATTCTCTCTCCCCACAGCAAGTCAAGAACTTCTTGCTTTTTATTCAGATGGAGATGGACATTTTTATGATGACATTTTAAAGGGAGGCTAGACTCATTATTCATTATGAAGTGACTCGCTCTTTGATTTTTCCTTCTACATACTATATCTATACATGTTTTTATGGCATTGCGAGTCTATGTGATATTTCACAATAATCATATAGTCGCTTGAACACATTATTTTCTATAGTCTTGCAACTGCGATGGATTGAGGACCTGTCCAGGGTGTTTCCTGCCTTCTGCACAATCACCGCTGGGATAGGCTCCAGTACCCCCCGCGACCCAGAAGAATAAGCGGCTAAGAAACTATGTGTGTTAGCTCACAATCATATCTTCACATTGCAACAAAAACAATATATGATTTGGGTGCTTTTTTGTCCATTGGGTGAATGTAAATAAAAGAAAGCACAAACACATTTATTGAGACGTCATAGGTCCAACTGAAACAACAAAAGTCCTTTGTTCTTAATTCTGACTTGTGCTTTAACACCATTAGGGGGTGGCAGTGAGTACTGTTTGTTAATCTGAGCTTGAGCTGTGGTCATTGTCTGAGCTAATTAGCCACTTTAGGCTTGTACTTTGATCAATGAATGAAAAAATATAGTTTTTTTATTGTGATAAAAAATTAGTACTCACATGTACTTAAATTGCAATTAATTGTCAGCTAAATTTTTTTTATCGTGACAGGCTCATTACCCACAGCGTTTAAGGTTAGAGTTAAATTTGGGTTTAGGGTTAGATTTAGAAGGATGTATTACGTTGAAGTTCACATTCATTTGCATTTAATAGATGTAACAGATTTAATAGTGGACTTTCAAAAAAAGCGTTACTAATAGATTTTATTAGCCACTAAAATGGTTAACAGAAAACCTGAAAAAAACAAATATGCCTTACCACACATTCCTGAAAGTGCTACAAAGGTGTGCTACAGTTGCTCTTACAGTATTGTGAGCAAGGTGTTTCTCAAATGCCACTCTGCTTCATGTCAGCTGTGGTGATCACAGACAATGATCAAGGCCATGTGTAAGGCACACTGCTTTGAAGAAGCACAGTCCTGAATTAATTGCATTGACTGTACAGTTCCTACACTGTTGGCACAATGTAATGGTCAAGTGTTGTCTGGAACTGTAGTCCATTTCTAGCATGATGAAAGCCTGTTGCTTTGGCTGGCATGTGAGGGGGCAAGTATGGCTGTCAATGCAACTCTTTACCACCCTCTCTCTCTCTCTCCGTTGCGATGGCTCAGAGAACAGTGGCTCTATTGCAGTGTGGATCTAAGCTCTCCTGCTGCTGCCTTTCAACTTAGTTGCAATCATGCCAACTCTGCCTATTCAACTCATTCACACTTCCAAACCGAAAGAACAGATATGGAATCGTTAAATGCCCTCTTTCCTCTTATTTAATGCCCATTTATTCCATTTAGTGCAATGCCACTGTCCATAGAAATTGCGTATATCAATATTTCCAATCTCAGTATTATTATTATTTTTTTCTGTATGCCAGTCCTGAAAAAATCAATGTGTCCTTCCATGGCTGCGCAGCGTTTCATCAAAAGCAAAGTCTTCTTTCTAGAGCACTATTTCTCCCCCTGTTCATTTTGCCCTGTGTATATTTAAAAGTTTTCTTCTCTTATGTTTGTCACTCAGCAGGGGGAATGTAATCAACTCCACTACCTGTGTTTTGACACGGCTTGATTAATACCCCACGCCGTTCCTCAGCATTTTAACTCAAATAATTATTTCCTATAGATTTTCAGTCAGAGCTCTGATGGGTGCTTTTGCCCTGCATTTATTATTGTAGCAGAGCTCAAATGAAACACTGCTATTTGCAGAGAGATGATTTTTTTGGTCTACACTTTTGACTATGTGCTTCATTCTTAGCATGTTAATGCTATGAGTGCATGCCTGACACAAAAATGTTGGCTATAATATCTAGAAAAAGTATTAGCAACAGGAAAGTAGGGTTTGACTGATATATTGGCTGACTGATAATTTTAGTCAATATTGACGTCCACCAGATTTGTCAGTATCAGCTGATAATACACTGGTGAATCTGGTGTGTTTCTCATGCATAAGATTAGGTTTGGATGTATTTTTCATCTTTTTATTTTAACCATGATGGTGTTCGAATGTACATATTGACGTCCACCAGATTTATCGGTATTGGTGTATTATAAGTGGGGCTTTCACTGATACTACAAATCTGGTGGATGTCAGTATTAATCGTTATCATCACATATTGTATATCATATCGTATATAGGTCAGGCTATCCTGTAGCATATACTTTTACTCTGAGGATTCTGGGGTTTCATTTCCATATACAAATATTTAATGAGACTGCTAAGCTAACAGTCACTGAACTGGTAAACATAAACATCACTTTGGTTAAAATAACAAAAACATGAACAAATTCACCCAAATCTGACCTTCAGCATGAGGATAACATACATAAAAAGTGTGTAATGTCAATTGTGGAGGGTAATTTTTAAAGAACACTACAGATACTACACTACACTACAGATTGCACAAGGCACAATTCTCAAAAAATATCCCAGCTTTCATATATTAGACATAAGTTGGGAGAACATAATATTTTGTAAGAAAACTTGGCTTTACTTCAATATACAAATACAGATTTACAAATACAAATACAATTTTTTTACGGTGTAGTGCTTTAGACTGAGACTATGCTAGAGATATGTATTCTGCTAGTGTGGCACTGAGATGGAGTTAGCCTGGTTAGGTGACTGCGCCAGTCCACTAGCAGTGGAAGTGTGTGTGATGAGATGGACTATTTCAGTGTGCTTAGCTGGAGGCTCCTGCAGAGCCAGTGTCTATAGTCACAGGACATGACCAGTGCAGCCACAGTTAAGACCTCCTGATAAGATCTCAGCAGGGCTGCTTTAATCTGTTTCTCTTCACAGCTCTTACCTTGAAGTGCTCCAGCTGCTTGGCGGCTTGTGGGTCCGGCTGTGGGTCTGACTCCAGGTCTGTTTGGGGGTCATGCTGTGGGTTCGGCTGGGGGTCTTGCTCTGTGTAGCTGGAGTCATGCGTGTGGTTCTGATGCTGTGTGTCTGCTCGGAGGTTCAGGTTAAAGATGAAGAGCTCAGTGTCCCGCAGCCAGCTCTTCAGCTCCTTGATCCTGCTCTCCAGCTGAGCCACCATGCTGCTGGTGCCTGGAGAGAGCAGCCCGCGAGAACCCGGATCGCCCGCACGCACCACCACATGCTCACCCAGGGTCTTCTGCAGAGACACACACATACACATAGTATTCCTATCTCTGTAGGGTATTTCCATTGACATATGCATTACTGTAAATATATACTGCTGTGGCTACACCTGAGCCAAACTTAAACTGAACCTCTGGAACCAAAAGGATCTTTTTTGTATTAAGAAAAAAAAGGCCCCTCAACAGCAAAATTTCCACACTATCCATGAGCCATCTGGATCCCAGAAAGAGTCAAATGTATGGCCATACAGCCATTAAGTTATTAATTTATCCAGATATTTCTAAGAAGATTACATATAAGAAAATCCCCTTTCATAAGGGAGGGAAAATAAAAATAAGTGAAAAAAAGACGTGTTTCCAAAACTGGAGAGAAAATGGGACTCCTAATAACCACTTTAGAGAAAATCAAGCTCCACTTTTGCTTCAGATCTGAAAAAACCCACAGGTGTTTCTGTCCAACTCGCAATGGATGTTAAGGTAAAAAAGCAAAGGATGCAAAGGATGACTGGGGTTTTCAAATCATACAAAAAAAGTAAGAAATGACAAAAATGGAGACAGCAACAATATGTTTTCTGCTTTTTTACCTGACACTGAAAAACTTGTACATAATGGCTGTGTTGACTGGAAATGGAATAAATGAAAGGGTGATCTCTGACTTTTGCACGGTACTATATCTATACTGACACTGTGTACTGTCTTATGTAGAATAATTTGTTCAGCAGGTGAGGAGAAAATAAATGTTACTCTATTTAGATCACAGCGATAACTTGTTGTCCACCTAAGCATCTTAACCAGAATCTAATGAATTGCCTTTTTAAGAGATAACACTGTAATTAACTCTAATTTACTTGGATTGAATTAAGAGATTCACAGGTAATTTAGATGAGGCTGCAAAGCTATTGTGGAGATGCTACATGCGTCGGATAAGAGGGGTTTGTATCTGCAGAGACAGAGAGAGGGTTAAAATCTCATCGTGCAAAGTGACATTTTAGAGAGACATTGAAATGCTTGTTGAATAGCAAACAATCAGCCACAAAAACACACACCGATGATTTTTGAAATGGGCTCGCTGAACAATTTTCTCCCACTGACAGCAAGAGAGTAGACCCGCACTGCGCTCCGCGTGTGTGTCTGCGTGTGTGCGTCCACTCGTACACGTGCGTGTGCATGTGTGTTAGTGTGTTTTGTGCGTGTTCTCCCAGCTGCCTGAATGATCGTACTTTTGGAAACAGAGTGCAGGTTGAACTCTGAACACTGAGAAGGCAATTGCGAGCACAAAACACTCCATTATCCAATTAATACACACACTGGCGACTCTAATTGTCCTTCCTTTGTGTGTGCCGTGTGTAAGAAAGCTGTAATGGAAACAGATGTGATTATGACTCAGCAATGAAGTGGCTATTTCAGCACGCGGCATCAATTAAGCTCTCAGTCGTGGCCCCATCTCCCTGAGCCCCCTCCCTGCCCCAGGCTTTATTAACACATCTGTGTTCCTCTCGTCCCAGCGCGCTGTTAATGCTGAGACAATGGCCAGCGAAGGGACAGCGTGTTTTAGAGGCTATGTGAAAATGGGCCCTTTCACCTAAAACAAAATCTGAGGTGTTAGGAGCTGCTTTTCCATATGCAAACTTAAGGCTAGACTCAGATGCAAAACCAAGTTGGGAGATCTGCCCTGATGAGTGCCAAAAGCATTACCAAATCAGGGGAATATAGTATGTTTCCAGCTTATTTGTCACCATGTATCTACACTCACTGGCCATTACATCAGGTATACCAACCATATAGGTGCACTTTGTAGGTTTACAATTACCGACTGTAGCTCATCTGTTGCTGCACCAATTGCCAACCACCCTTCATCTGGTCTATCAATGCAAAGAGATCTCCACAGGACGACCAATGAGCAGATATTATTTGTGTCGACCATTCTCAGCACAGCAGTAACACCATTATGGTAGTAGTATGTCAGTGTGTGTTGTGCTCGTAAGAGTATTAGGCACAGCAGTGTTGCTGGAGTTTTAACACACATCAGTGTCACTGCTGGGTTGACAACAGTCAACCAAACATATCCAGCCACCTGTGGCTCATCAGAAGCTGACCACTGATGAAGGGCTAGAGGGTGATTGAAGGCCTTTTCAGGAGACTTTTTTTAGCTTTTCAAAGAAATCTGCAGGGATATGATTTAAGTAATTCCAATTACAAATTTAAACTCTCTAACTCCTCATCTCAGAAGTCCAGTTTCAGTGTTCTAGTGCATAGTCTCTTCTTTTTTGTCCTTTTCTTAATAACAGCTTCTTAACAGCTACACATCCTTTCAGACCCAGAGTGTTGAGTTGTCTTCTTACAGTGGAAGGATGGACAGAAACACCTGTGGATTTTTTCAAATCTGAAGCAAGAGTGGAGCTTGATTTTCTCCTCTCTCTCAGAGATGAAAGCTTTAAGTGCTGTTTAAGGTCTCTCATAATGGCACATGAGTAAGAATTTCCATCGTGTTATGATGACGACTGCTGCAATGAATTCCTGCAGAGGAACACATTCAGCCATGTCTATTTTGATGAGAGGACAAAAAAGCTTTAATATGCACTGAGAACATACCTCAGTTCTTCATCATCTATCTGTACCCTCAACTCTCTCTCTCTCTCTCTCTCTCTCTCTCTCATTCCATCCCTTTATCTCTTTCTCTGCTTACGCGAATATTGATAATCAACAGATTCGCTATTGTTTTTTGGTGTGTGACAAATGTCTAGACACAAGGTGAGTTCCGTGCCCTTGGAGGGTCAGGTTGCAAAAAACAGGAATTTATTGCCACTTTATTTTGTTCTGGAGCAGTTTGCAATCATAAATTCTTCATAAGCAGCATACTTCAGAGAATGGTCTGTCTTCATAAATATATACGACAGAGGACATCAATTTCATTTAATTCACAATTTGTGTCAGCACAGCAGATGCCAATGGCTGACTTGATAGGCTTGTTTAATATGCAATTGAAATGGTGTAATGCACAGCGTGGGGAGCAGGAACGCTCAGATTGAACTCTCCGCACCACTGCCGTCTCATTCTTGCCACTAACGCTGTGCCACTCAACACACTTCAGATGACACACACACACACCTCGTTCAAAGTTTAGATATGGCCATTTTGCCAAATGTCAGTGATTATTCTTTTAAATATGGCTCTAATTAACACTGATTGTTGCAGCGGAACCGAACGGTTATTTGGTGCTCAAATTCAAACGAGAATTCCTCACTTACCAGATAATGACAATTCTGCTAATCTGGCTGAGTGTTACTGATACAAATCAGTCCTAGCCCACCGTTCACATGTACAAATCTACATCTGTTATCCGCAGGTAACCCGTATGCCTTTACAGATCAACTGACAAAATAAACTTTGATGAGTAACACACACTACATGATATAGCTGTGAAAGGTACACTGTAAAAAATTATGTATTGTATTAATTTAAGGAAGTAAGCCATTTTTTATTCATTGAACATCTAATACTAAGTTAAACAAAACAATAATCTGAGTCTTACATTCTGTTGACATTATTTGAATATTTTAAGGCAGTCAGCTACTACCTTAAGTTGTGCTATGTTCAAGTCAAAATGACCTATTTATGAGCCAATTATTAAAGCTAAAGTCATATTTTATAAATGAAAATGTTGCGCACATTTGTATTGTGGTCTTAGTTTTGTTGTATCACCACTGACACAAGCTAGACAAAAATACAAGGTGAAAAAATATTTGTTTTTTACTGTGTCAAGATATTGTTTAACACTTATATTGCTTCGAATTTGATAACACCCCTTATCTTCATCACTGATGACAGCAGATTTAGCATTAAGAACAAATGACACAGTCTTATGTTTTTTCAAAGGCAAATCACAACAATTAACCATAAATGTTGTTTATATTGCAAATAACTATTTTAAAATTATAATACTTGACTGTGAGTAAATATGACCCATGAACAGTACATCCACTACTCAGTGGCAGGGCTATTTTTTTACAGTGTGGTCACAGTGGACATGAACAACTTATGTGAAATCATGTGCTTTATCTTCAGGTTTGATAGACATAAAATGTGTCATAACTTTTAAAAAGGCCACATTTATGTTTTTTTTTTTTCCCAGTATGTTAAAATCAGCAAATAAACAGTAATTATGTACTAATATGTTCGAGGTGTGTTCAAGTATGAGGTTTGTTTTCTTATTTTAATATATAAAATTAACAAAACATGCAATTTGGCCAGAGGCACCTTAACTATTGCATACGATTGTATGTATAATTGTATATAAAATATATATGTACACATTTGAATCAAGCTATGTCAAACATCTACTTTCAGCTACACGACAAAAACAGCTGTCATTATTTCTTTTGTTCAGTTATTCTGCTTACTGTTGCTGTTGGATAAAATCCTTGTATCTCCAAAACATTCAAAATAACAATAAAGAAGGAGATATAAGGTTTTGTTATGACAGCAACAATATAAAATGATAGTCTAAACCTGGACAATGAGGCAGAGTTTTGAGCAGAGTGAGACTGCAGAAAAAGATTTCACCTCTAGCTGATCCCACTTGGCCCTGAGAGCAGTGATGCGCTCGTCAAAGTCAGCAGGCAGCTCCGTGCCGCTCCTCTTCAGACTCTCCGCCCAGCCCAGGAGCTGCGTCTTCTTAGGGAGCCACATGGTCATCTCCACACTGTTCCCCTACGAACACACATACACACACAGTTCTCAAAATTAGATACATCTTTCCTGCTCTACATGACTTCATGACATCAGTTTATCAATAAATATGGCACAAAAATGACATTACTCTCCTGCAGTGCTATAAAGCAGAAGGCCATGGCTGTGTGCTCTGTGTTGTGTCTAGGAGAGAGGCCATTCTCCAAATCAAATGAATATTTAAGTGTGAGTACTTCAGATCATATTTGAGTACATAATCTTGAGCAAAATTTATGAGAGGTAGGACAGTAATCCCCATGCAAAGCAGGAAATCGCAGATTTGATATGATTTTAAGATGTGACATTTTCAGTTAAATGGAAGACAAGCATACTGTAAGGGCTGAAATTGATGCTGCTCAATCTCGCACCTTTTTTTTGGTTAATTTCTCTCTCTCTCTCTCTTCCCCATTTCATTTTCTGCATCAATAGCTACTTGATTCTAGTTTTCGGTTGTCATTTATCATTACGGCAGAAGCACATTTAAATATTTAAATGCGCTGTGTTTTTTCCTCTCTTCTCGCTGTCATCAGGCCAGGATTCATTTTTCATTGTCGCCGTTTTTGATGGAGATGGTATCACACATCCTTCTAAGCCATCCATCCCTTTCATGTTTTTAATAGTGGCCGCCAAAGTAAAGACACTCCTCTTAAAAGTGAAGGGGATTACGCAATTTGTTTGTTGACAGGACATATTGATTTTAAGAGTTTTCCTTTTCATTAAAAAAATGCCAGGTTATTGATGAAGAGAGCAGGCAGAGCAGGAAGTAGAGGAGGGGAGATAGGCAGGTTGATTAGAATGCTGAAGACGAGAAGATGGGAATGTTATGCCATGGTGGGTTTTGGCTAACCTCAGCTGAGCGCTTGACCACCTTTTAGCCCTTTAGTGCTTTTCCTCCCTGCTCTGCAGACAGGCCTATTAGTATATTTAACCTTAGACTCCAGTGCTTAACTCAACTTTACAAGAATGAGTAATTGTGGGTAAAGGGAAACATATTATGAGGCCAAAGGGCAGCATCAAGGTAAAATAATGAGCTTAATACATGACAAGCCTTACTGTATGATCCATGCACAGCAACAGTACCTAGCACACGTAGTAGGCTGTGTGACAACTTGCCTGAATAAGATTTGTAAAAATGACACCTCCAAATCATGACTGAATTACAGGACGGTGCAAGTCAGAGACCACTGCTCATTTATTTAATTCCTAGCCAAAATGGAGATTAAGTTATTTATTTTTCAGTGCCCCTACCAACTTTATTACTGTACCGTTGTCTAAAATGAGGAAGAAAAAAGCAACTGGTTAATCATATCTAAAAAAAAAAAATAAATAATAATAATAAAATGCATGCATCTGGAGCCAAATAACTGAAAGGAAAAAGAAATGAGAGAAAAAAAAAACGTAAGATAAAGTTATGATTTCTTTTGCATTGTTAATGTTATGCCATTTGTTTCGGCTTGTAGCTGGACAACAAGGAGCAGGTGATCTGAGGTCTGTCTAACGAAGCAGGTTCCAGGTTCAGATAGGCTCTCTGACTAACTTTCAGCTTCACAAAACTCAGTTAACTTGTTTTACAACTTGCTCTGTTAACTCAAGTTTAGATACTCAGACTGTGATTAACCCATCATGCGTTTGCACATGAAAATGTGATGATTATAGGCAACCATGTTAAACATGAGAAGTCACCATAGAAGGAACAATAAATGATACTACCTAAATATGTAGAAAGTAAGCATTTATAACCCAAAATGAGCATCCAACCATCCAACCATCATCAATACACAAATAACCAGTTATAAATGTATATAATTTAGACAGTTTGTGGTAGTCATGGTTATTAGCATCTAATTACAGTACATCAGCTAGTAAGATGGGGCCACCAAAATGCTGCTTAGGGCCCTCAAAGGTTAGAGCTAGCCCTGACTGTGGGATATTTTGCCACACCTTCAAAGTTCCATTCAATCGATCCAAGCAATCCCAAACACACTCAGTGATGTTGAGGTCTGGACTCTGGGGTGGTCGCTCCATTGTTCTGAAAATACCAGCAGCTTCTTTGTTTATTCACAAATGTTCTGGACAGAAACAACTGTGGATGTTTTCAGGTCTGAAGCAAGAGTGGAGCTTGATTTCCTCCTCTCTCTCAAAGATGAAAGCTTTTAGTGCTGTTTATCTGATGGTGATAGTTTTGGTATTTTGCCAAGTCTTGCATGGTTATGCATCCCATTTTCTTGATATCATTTTTTGAATTGCAATTTTGGAAACCCCTGTTTTTTCAACTAGTTTTCTTTGACTTTCCCCTGCGTTATGGAAGTGGATCATCTAATCTCCTGAGAAATATCTCCTAAAAAACAAACAACTTGAACTTAGTGGTGGTTTTGACTAGAAAAGTAAATAAATTAAAGGTAGTCTCTGACTTTTGCTCATTACTACATATTCTGATTATCCAGAACACAGTGTTTCAGTGTTTTTCTTTTGGCTGGGAAAGTCCAGCACTATACCTGGCACTATAAATAAAGCGGTCAGCATGTGACTCACACGGCCACTCCACGAATGATGAAATGACAGCACTGACAATCCATAAAAAAAAAATACGATATATCAGTGAGCAAAGATGGTCATTAAAATAGATGAAATATCAACAAGCAGTAATAATTTTAATTCACTTGGCATATTAACATAAAAGACTGGAAATGTCAGCAAAAACGCAGTCACACATGAGCTCATTTAATGCATTTTTGTAGATTCATCTTACCCATTAAATTAAAGTTTGTTCAGTCTTTGTAACATGTTGAGACAACAGAAGTAAGGCTCCATGAACTGAGGCGGATGCGGGGGGTGTATTTAAATCATTTTATGCTAACGCTAACACGTCGGGAAAAAGACTGCGGCAAGAAAAAGAAATCCCATCACTGCTCCCAATGCTCAGCCATTTCAACCACACGTACTGCACTGGCTTTAAATCAAAAGGTGAGCAGTACCATTCTTATTTTGCCCTGGAAATGAATCTATGGAGGGGAAAAAAGTAATTTAGAGCTCATCTGATGATGCACTGAAGCTGCCATATTAAACGTTTAGCATGAAGAAAAGGGGAAGCACTTCAGAAAAACACGTGAGAAGCTAGACTGGGAGATGATGAGCTACAAATTGACTCTGAGGTACAAAATATGGAATTTGATATGCTTTCATGATACAGATCCAACCAAAAGAAGCTGGGAAAACTGATAATTACTTAATCAGTTCGGGGCCTTTTCATATCTTGCCAACACCCTTGATGTCTGCAGTAGACTGTGGAAAGGAAGGGAGAGGTGGAGGGAGGGAGAGGAGGAGAGAGGGAACAGAGGGGGGTCTGGGGGAGAACAGGGCTATTGATGGAAGCGGGATGCAGCTGAGCAGAGAGAGCAGAAGGCCTCTCAATGATGGCTGAGCTCACGGCTTGAAAGACCAGGAAGTAGAAAAGCTACATGTCCACTTTAAAAGCAGGGTCAAAAAGACGTAAAGCTTCCATTTGCAAGTGATTCCTAAACTGTTTATGTAAAATGGTTGCTTCCGTGCTTCAGTGGTGAGTTGTTGTTGTGTTTTTTCTTTTTTTTCTTTTTTTCAATGAAAAATCACTTCGCTCAGAATAAGGAGGGGAAAAAAACTGCTCGGACTGGCCTGGAACAAAAGGCCTTGAAACACTGTTAATTGTCACCATGGTGACCAGAAGAATAAGCCATTTTACAACTGGTATAGAAGGCTCACATTGAGGCCTGAGTCAAACACTTTTTTTTCTCTTTTTTTCATCCCTCTCTCGCCTCTGTGTTTAAGAACAAGGTGGCCAGTCACTGAGAGGTCAGCTCAAGACCCGGGAGAATTTCCACCAGCTTTTCCAGACCTCATCGAGAAGGAGCTTTCAAAGAGGACAAAATCAACTTTAGATTGTAAAAAACACATTCAGCGGCAACAAATTGCATAAACAATGGTATCTTTCAGGAAACAAGAAGTGGCTGTGCAAAGAGTAGGAGGTTATAGGCCCATACAATGAGCGCAGCGCTGCAAGGAACCCTGGGAACTCGCTCCCTCTCTGCCATAACAGCAGACTGTCAAAAAAAAACAATATGGAGGATGGAGGAATTCGAGACATTTACTCTCCTCCTCTTCCCTCCCTCCCCACCCTCTCCCTACACAGGATGCATTAGTCAGATTTCCAAAGAGGTAATGAGAAATTCAAGAGGATCAATGGACAAAGAGCTGCCCAGTCAGCCCACTGATAGCTTAAAACACACAGAGAGACTGCAACAGCAGGCCCTTTAACCCGGGATGATTTATCACAAGGCAAAAAAAAAAAAAATGCTGGACGTCTCCGCTGCCGTTATGGCTCCCCCTTTGATGTGTGTGACTGAGGGCGATTTTCCTCGCTTAAAGAATTTTATGACTGAATCTGGTTGGACTCCTGCTGTTAAAAGCGACTATGCTAGAGCTACATATATATGATGATATATATTTGTTGATGGCATGAAATTGTTGTTTTTCTGAGGTGTTTTTTTTTTCAGTTTCCCCTTCTGTCTTTGCACAAGGCTTGATGGTGACCCCCATAGGAAGCCCATGCCTAATGCCATTGAATGGCGAACAAAGGCGCTTTTTATCCGGGGCCCAGGGCCTGGAGCTCAGCTGTGGGTTCAGGGAGGAGGGATTGTGCTGGAGAACGAGTCTTAGCGCCCGGCCCTCCGCTGCCCCCTCTCCGCTCTGAGCGTGGCACTTTTCTTCGGCGGACAAACACAGGAAACAATGCAATCAGCCAAGAGCACAGTGTTTTAAGAGGCGGAGAAGCCTCAGCCTGGGCCCTGCTCTGCACTCCTCTAAAGCCTCAATAACCATGCCAGGCTGGAGTATTTGGCCTGCTGCTCTCGCTCGCTAAGCACCGATGCTCAGAGAAACAGTGCGACTTTTGGATACTTACAAAAATGATCTGGTAAAATGTTGCGGGAATGTTCCAGAACCACCTC